CCTTTGCTCTTCTGAAAATTTTCTATATGCACCTCTTTTCCAGTGCCTGAATCCTGCCATAGCTGTAGCTACTAAGTGGGTACCGGGTACAGTGCTGTTTCACCTAAGTTCAGTAACCCTAGCATCAACCCTAAAATAAAATATTTCCTGCAGTTTACAAAGGATGAAACTAAATGTAGAAATGACCCAATGATGGAAGTCGGGGCGAACATCCTGCACCTGTGTGTTACCCTCCTCCCTCTCTTTGCTCTCACATTGGGAGCAACACTCTGAGGCAGGAGGGAGGAGATGATGTTGACTTTGACTGTTGGGCTTGGAAGGACTCATTGCTACTGGGTGCAGGATACAGATGTTGTCTGGGCCAGCAAACATGAAGATGGCTGTGGTACAAGATGTTCTGGGTGTATGGGCTTAGTCTTTGCTTTTCCAACTCTTAGTTTGCACAGGGATAGAATGTGACCCACTTCCTACTACAGACGTGCTTAGGTAAGGTATTTGCCCACTTCCTACTATGTGGCGGTGCCTGGCCAGGTACCAACCTGCTTGGGAAGCTGCTGCTGTGCTGGCACTGAAATGAAGCTTTGTACCTCATGGGGCTGTGGCTTTTCCTTCCATCCCTTCCGTGGATCTCGTGCTTTTAATAAAAACGTCAGGATAGACATGTTGACATCAAGCAGAAGACGTTGCTTAGGGTCTGCTTAAGGGGTGTTGGAGTGGGTTTGCTTAATCTTACTGAAAAACTGTGCATCTCCCCTTTTCTCAAGTGCTGTTAGTTCCTAAGGAGATAGGCTTTTTGAGTATGTGAGATCCTTTGGTGGCCTGGTGGGATTTTGGTCTCCAGCCACTATGATTTTCAGTCTACCTTCTTAACATCTTGTACTAAGACTGGAGGTTCCAACCAAGGTTGAGGAGTAGCTCTGCTCTCATTTTGCCAGGTAGCAGTTGCTACTGTGGGTAATATCTGTGTGCTCTGTGCCACCTCCCTCCCTTCTATGGTTAGTTTTCTTGAAACCCACGGTTGCTCTTTGCCAGTGACTTTTATTGTTACTACTTTCCCTGACCTCAGGCTGATGTTGCATGGTGAAGTTGGGTGGCAGCTGTGTTTTTTGAGGGATGGAAGCTGATAAACTGAGTCTTGTGTCTTTCCTGGTGAGCTCTTGTTCAGGTACTTGGTGAGTGCTTGATGCCTCTGTTTTCTGCTGTGTTAAAAGGACCCTCAGCTCACTCCCAGGCAGGGCCATGATTTCAAGGACAGCGCAGAGGTTGGATCACTTACTGCTTGCAAACATTATGGAAGGGTTCATACACTTAGCCCCTTGAACACAGGAGGAGTAGACAGGCCAGCCACTCAGTTAGGCTGTAGTGGGGTCCTCTTCTGTTTATCCCCACTGAGCCCAGCTCAGAATGCTTTGCAGGGCTTGGTTGCAAGCTGACAGCTCAGTCTGTCTAAAAGGTAATGCTGAGAAACTACCTACTGGTGTGGCTTGGCGCCTCACTGTAAATTGACATTTGTAGGTATGATGACAGGACACTTTAGCTGGATAAAACACATAGCCCCCCAAAATTTAAAAAATATTAAGCACACACAGTGCTGTGAGACCTTCAGTAGTTCTCTGGATAGGCGGGTTAAAGAGGACTTCAAGTCGAAGATCACATTCTTTCTGTTGTGTCTCCTGACTCAACTCCTGGCAACTTGTACAGATTTAGTCCTCCAGACCCTGAGATTTCTGCCCTATTTCACAAGAGTGAAAATCCTGCTTATCTTAGTTTTGAAGCTCCGTTGGGATGGCAGAAGGACTTAACAAGGCTTGTATCTGTGTAGGGCTCCGCAGGGAGCAATGAGGGTTTCAGATGTTTCTGCTCTTTTCCCTGAGGGCCACCTTGGCTTAGTCTGACACAGTGATTTTCATTCTGATGACACATTCATCCCTGGGTAGTTAAAATGCTCCCTAGCTCTTAGGTCCTACTCCTGGAGACTTAATGATTCAAATGTGAAACATGGATGTAAGGTTCTTTTTTTTTCTCCAAGATTAATTGATTCATCTTCAGAAAGCTAGAGGGATACAGAGAGATGCCTTCTGTCCACTGGTTCACTCCCTAGATGGCAACAGTAACCAGCACTGGACCAGACTGAATCCTGGAGCGTTGTATGGGTCTCCCATATGAATGAGTGCAGGGGCATAAACACCTGGGCCATCTTCTGCTGCTTTCCCCAGGATGTTAGGAGAGATCAGAAATGGAGCAACCGTGACTCGAATCAGCACCCCTAAGGGATGCTCACATTGTAGGCAACAGCTTCGCCTGTTTGCCTGCAATGCTAGCTCAGCCCTCCTCCCCTGCCTCTCCGCCCCCACCCCCCAGCAAGAGAATTCTTATATTCTAGTCATCGCAGAGAAACATTCTGTTTGGCTTTATAGAGTTGAGTCAGCCAGATCTAGTTACTGATTTGAAGACAGCGTGGCTGCTTGTGTATGAAGCACTTTCTAAAAGTTGGTAGAAGATGTGTGTAAGGTTTTAGCTCTACTTTCCATGAATTTTTAAAAAAGGATTTATTTATTCATTTGAAAATCAGAGGTAGAGAGAGACAAATCATCCATTAATTGGTTCACTTCTCAATTACACGCAACATCCAGGATGGGCCCCAGCAAAAGCCAGGAACCTCTTTCGGATCTCTCATGTGGGTACAGGGGCACAAGTACTTGGGCGATCCCTGCTGGATGTAAGCCGTGTAGTTGGGACTTGAACTGCATCCCATATGGGCTGGCAGTGTTATAGGTTGCGGCTTAACTCTTCATGCCACGATGTTGGCTCCTCTTTAACTTCTCGGTTCCCTTGCACTAGGACCTGCGGGACATCACAAGGGTGCCAGGGACTTGGAATGCACTGGCCTTGTTTCCTATCAGGGTCCTATTCTCCTGGGAAAACCAGACACTGTAGGATATTATTCTCATGCTTGTCATCACTGCCTGGCACTCGTGCACTGATCCCACTGGCTCTCAGAGGTGTTTGGCGTACTTGATGAGGCAGGTAGAGTTTTACCACCTTATTCCAGTGAGGAAACCACAGCTCAGATTTTCCCGTCACTTGGGCAAGTCCAAAGGTGGCAGCTAGAATTCTCAGCAGAACCGCGTGACACCAGAGGCCGTACACTGGCCTGTAGGGTGATTTGTATAAACAGATGCACTTCCATCTTAGCCAGGGCTTTTTGTGGAGTTTGCCTAGAGCTGGATTGGTAGCCCCAGCCTGGAGTTTCATGTTCAAGTGCAGGCTCCTGGGGTTGGGCTGGGGTGGAGGGAGTGCACAGGCCTCTGGATACATGAACCAGGGACAAAACACTTACTATTTGGTCCATCTGGGCTGCTAACCTCCTTCAGTGGTTCTTACACTTCACACTTAACCTGGTGTGCTCTGCAATAACCCCCACACTGTGAAAGATGTGAATAGTCCAGGGTGTTGCCTGGTGTGGGAAGTTGGGCAGGCCCCTCAGCTGGGGCTGCATGCTGTTGTTGCAGGCAGCTATTCCCTCCAGCTGCAGGTGGCACTGGCATTAGTGTTGCTCCCATAGATGGATGATATGAACTGGAGGTTGCAGAAAAGCTCAGTTTTGAATGCACTCATGTCTGATGTCGGCAGCTGCCTTCTCCAGGTGTTGCGTAGGCTTCTTGCTGGAGAGTTTTCCCAAGCCGCAAGCTTTCCTTTGATAATTGGATGGGCATGACTGTTTCATTTGTTTGGATTTGATGAAATTAAACATTGTTCAAACGGGATGCTGATGACTTAGCACTTAAGTAAGTGTTAGAGTTGGTAAGTAGCCTAGAGATGATGGAAGTGTATGGGAGGCTGCAAGAGGGTTCTGTGCAGGTGCTGTGCCATTTTATAGTCAGATCAGTGAGTCAGAAGAGGGGAAGGGTTGCAGGAACTGAGGCCCCACAGATGACAGGTGCCAACCACTGGGTTTTGGATAGTAGGGGCTAGGCTCCTTGGTGGTGCTGATGTTGTCCCTCCCTTGGAGCAACACAGAGCTGCAGTACTGCTGGCAGCCCACTGTGTCCCCCAGGGCTATGCCAGTGCTGGGAAGCTACACAATCAAACTTACCACCTTTCATTTGGCTTAGAGAAGAGATTTTTGTACATGGAAAGATAAATGAACCTCTCCCAGACTAAGAATTATACAGAGACAGAGCAGGAAGTGAGGTCCCTGGTGCTGGCTTTGGTTTGGTCTGCTGCATGGAGCAATCAATAAGGGTGGGATGGGGGAGCCCAAGGCCTTGATGTTCCTGCTCATCTGGGCTGCTGGGGTCCCAATCCTCGCTGCCCTCTCCACTTGGTTTCTGTTTGGGAACTCCCCTGTTGTTTTTGTGGTCATCTGTGGTATTGACCCATTTTGGCATCTTTGACACTGAGCAGAGGCTGTAGCCCTGGTAGGGTATAACCCAGGCTCACCAGGCCCTCTGCTGGAGCTTTAATCTCATTGGTCTTTTATGTTCTAAGATCTAGAAGGTGCATTCTATGGGTTACATATGTTTCTCTTGGTACTGGAAAACTTTGTGTTTTGTTTTTAAGATATATTTATTTATTGGAAAGGAATATTTACAGAGAGGAGAGAGAGAAAGATCTTCCATCTGCTGGTTCACTCCCCAAGTGGCCATAGTGACCAGAGCTGAACTGATCCTAAGCTAGGAGCCAAGAGCTTCTTCCAAATCTCCCATACAAGGCTTTGGGTAGTCCTAGACTGCTTTCCCAGGCTATAAGCAGGGAGCTGGGTGGGAAGTGGAACAGTTGGGACACAAACCAGAACCCATATAGAATCTCAGCGCTGCAAAGCAAGGATTTAGGTACTGAGCCATAGCACCAGGCCGTGCTTTGTGTCTTTAGAAAGAGAGGAAGACATGTGCAGATGGTTTTTAAAGCTCTGATGGGTCCTGCACAGGTGGCCGCCCACACAGACACCCATAAGCAGCATTGTTTTGCATTTCAGCTTTGTTTTTCTGTCTTTTCAGTACACAAGGGTGTGGATCCCTGACCCCGATGAAGTCTGGTGCTCAGCTGAGTTGACCAAGGACTACAAAGAGGGAGACAAGTGCCTCCAGCTCAGACTGGAAGATGAAACTGTAAGTGCTGGGCTGGGCAGGTGGGAATGGGGGTAAGGGGGTGGAGCAGCGTGTGGTGCTCAGGTGTGTGACAGGCGGGACTTGCCAGTATGCGGTAGGTTTGTGATTTTCCTGAACCTGGGTTCATTTTGCTGCTGCTGTTGATATATCGGAAAGTACTAGGCCAAGAAACTGCTCTATGGATGTCTTGTAAGCAGTACTAGAGTTAGCTAACCTTAATACTAACAAGTTAGTGCTGTATCCTTTCGGGTTAGCCACAGAGTGGTCCTCGGTGGCTGAGGCCAGAATCTTCTGTGGAGTTTACAGCATCAGTAGATGCTGGGGAAGAACGGCCACAGGAGACCAGAAATGGGGCGTGGGTGCTGGAGCCAGTCTACCCAGGTTGGGATCCTGCCACAGCCATTAGGGACTTGTTACCTTGGACAACTTGGCAGTTCTTTCTGTGCCTGTTTCCTACCTAAAATGAGGGATGAACCCTTGGGTTGGGTTATTTTTAGAGTAAAGTGGGCTAATGTGTGATGTGTAGAATCACGCCTGGCATGTGACTTCTATAGACACCTTAGCATCTTTTCACCCACTGACCTTCAGGTTGTTGGTTTCCACAGGAAGACAAGGCAGTAATTGTGCCATCCTGTTTTTCCTTAAGGATCAATTTAGTTTCTATTTCCAAGAGCCTCTTGTTACTTCCACACCTGTGAGGTACCTGGCACACACCTTTGAACCTTGATTGTATGCCCTGTGTTGGATTTTGGAGGTAGCTGATGAGCTTATGTGCCCTGCCATCTTGAGGAGCTGAGCATTAGAGAGGGCAGTGGGTACCACACGGACGTGAGACCGGTGTCATGCCAAACTGCAGGGGGAATGGAAGCAAGTGGCTGAAGTCACAAAGGGGACACCAGTGTACCCTGGGGAGGCATGTCCATTAAGGCCAGGATTCTTCAGAAAAGTGCTGTGGGTGGCAAACACCAGCATTGAAACTGCATGGTGCAGAGTCTCTGAACGGAGGGTGTCCGAGGCAAGAGCTGTGTGCACCAGTGACCAGAGATGGCGCTGTGTCCCCTGTGTGTGTATTCAAGGGATGGGGAGGAGGACAGTGTACCTGGGAAGCTGGTGGTCCTGGGCAGAGAATGCTGCTGGGGAATGGAAGCAGGGCTTACAAAGGGGGAGGCTGAAGGAGAATGGGTCTTGGAATAGAATGGTGGGGAAGCCTCGAGAATTGGCAGTGGATGCATGAGGATGGTCTACAGAGAAGATAGATATTACTTGCTTGGAGTGATAGCCTCTTGCGCAAGTCTGGCAGTACAGGTTGGTGCTGTATCCTTTAGCTTTCAGTCATTGCCTCTTAGTGTTTTTCATTCTTCGAAGCCTCTTGACCTAGTCTTCCCTAGTGGGTGGTATGTGATTAACTCAGGGGTAGGACAGGGAGTTTGTGACAAAGCGCCCACACACCTTCCCCTTGTTGGTGGGCTGGCTCTCGGTTTTGTGGTGAGAAACACAACTCCTAACAGATGGAGTCTGTTTACCTTGTTGAATAACTGCCTGCCCCGCGCCCGACACAAAATGAAATTAGCCCACCCACTTGCACAGGGCCTCTTTCATACCAGCCAGATTTAGTTTCAGTTGATCTTTTCAAGTAAGTGCGTGTGCTGCAAAAGTTGTATGGAGATAGTAAAGGATGCACTGCTGTGTTGCTAGAGCAGATGCCTGCCTGCTTGCCTGGTAGGGAAGCCGGCCCTGCGTGACTAAGCATGGCAGCGGCCCAGGGCTTATCTCCTCCATCCCCTGCTCCAGCGGCAGCCTGTGTGACCTCCGAGGGAAAGCCTGGGGCTAGACGCCAGCAGCTTGCCAGAAATAATGGGCTCTGAGCAGTTGCCTCAGCCCGGCCTGCTCCTGACCAATGACTTGTCCACGGCTGGCTTTGAGCTGTTGTTAGGGAGGGCATGGTGCCTCCGGGGCAGGAGCAGCGTGGCTACATTTGGTGTGCGTGAACAGCCTCTGGTGGGGCTGAAGCCAGCCTTGCTGTGCCAGCACCTGCCCTCACCCTTCGCCCTGATGGGTTTTGCTGCAGCAGCAAAGGCTTGGAGCCAGTGTCCCTGCTGGACAGAGGGATGCTCTTCACCCAGCTGTGGCAGATCTGACCTGTTCAAAAGTGCTCAGCTTCTCACTGTTCCACTGAGATGTTTTCTTCCCCTGCTTTAGCTCATGTATTATTACACAGGCAGAATTTGTGTAAATATAAAATATATTATGTAAACAATTGAGAAAAAAATTGTTTGAGAGGCAGAGAGAAAAAAACCATGGAGAGACCTCCTACCTGCTAGTTCATGCTTCAAATGCCCGGGAGCTGAGAACCCCACCCAAATCTCAAATGAGTGGATGGGGTGGCACTCAACCACTAGAGCCATCACCTGCAGCCTCCTGGGGTGTGCACTTAGCAGGAAGCTGGGATCAGGAGCAGAGCTGGAACTGGAACCCACAGCTTGAATCTGGGCATTCTCATGTGACATACAGGTCACATGGCTGTTTAGTGGTTGTGCTGACATCCGGCCTGGAGCGAATGACTTGTAAGTACACAATTTAGTCGCACTGAATTTCGTGTACCTATGTCTGCCATCCATCTCCAGGGCCCTTTTTGTCCTACAGTACTGACCCTATCCCCAATGACTACCCCATCTCCCTGTCTGGTAACCACTGCTCTACGTCCTGTTTCAATTTTAGCATATATGCTGCCGAAGCAAGCACTCTACTTCCTGTTGCACAGAGTCTGCTCTGGGGCCTTGTGCATGCAGGTGGACTCTTGAATACCTGTCCCTTTGTGTCGTGTATTTCACCTGTAATGACGTAAGGTTTTTGTCATTTTTAAAAACAGATTCATATATTTGAAAGGCAAGGTGACAGGGAGCAAGAGATATTTCATCGTTTGCTTCAAATCGTTCACTCCCCATGTGGCTGTGATGGTTGGAGCTGAGCCAAGCTGAACTTGTCTGGATCTCCCATATAGGTGGCAGAGGCACAAGTGCTTGGGCCATCTGCTGCTGCCTTCCCAGATGCATTAGTGGGGAGCTGGATGGAGAATAGAGCAGCTAGGGCTTGAGCCTGTCACAGACCCTGTCTTCACCAGCTGCACCATCATGGCAGGCCCTAAAGTTTTTTGCTGAAGTGACCAGCAGATGGTAAACCTCTTGTAGGAAAGGACAGTGTCCAAAGTCTTTGGTCAATTCCCCCCAACCCCTCCCCAGCCGCAGGATGACTATGAACTCTATAAATGCACCAGCACAGTGCTCTGCTCCAAAGTTGGACTGGGTGTTTCTGTGACACAACAGGTATAGCTCCAGGGAAGTTTGCCTATGCTGGGCCAACCATTTGGCTCCTAGCCCCACCTCTCTTTCAGTCTGCTCACCTCCTGCCCTCTAGTGTTAGGGAAAACTTCCCATTTCGCTGGCTGTGCTTTTACTTAAAGCTTGATTTGAAGGGCAGAGTGGCAGACAGAGATTTTCTATTGACTGGTTCACTCCCCAAGTGACTATTACAGACAGGATGGGCCAGGCTGAAACCAGGAGCCTAGAATTCCATCCATATCTGCTCTGTGGATGGTAGGGAGCCAACACTTGGCCATCCTCCTCTTTTCCTAGGTGCATCAGCAGGGAGCTGCATCAGAAGGGCAGCCAGGGCACAAACTGGCTCAACACCAGCTCCCATGGCTGTGCCTTGAAATTCTGTTTGCCCAACGAATTTGTGTCTAGCATTTAGGTGCTTCCTGGGTGATGAGTACTGGCTGGACACGGAGATCTGGCTTTGAGAGAAAAAGACAGAGAACATGTGAGCTTTACCAAAGCCATGTGTGCCACTTGTGCCCTCCTGTTTTTTGGGGGGGCAGGGCAAGACAACATCAGTCTCCATCTGGACAAATCCTTCAAAGTCTGTCTTTTTAAGTTATTTAAGTAAACCTGACTCTGAAGGGTTTTTGGAAATGGAAAGCAGTATTTGTGAGATGAAGATTGTGGCAACTTGACTGTTCAGTGCTGGTGTAAGACCGGTTGCTCTGCCTGGGGTACATGGCACGTGAACACAGGGCTAAGGTGCAGGATTCGGCATTGCAGCTTAGTCCTCATCTGTGCAGCACCTCGTGGTGGTTGCAAGGACCTTGTGAGCAGCTCTGGGATGGATTGTGACTCCAGTGGCAGCATGAGGATCACATTGGTCCACCGAGGAGCCATCTATTTTGAAAGTTCTGGAGCCCTCCTTTCCTCTGGCCATCCACACACTGAAAAGTCTGCAGTTCCCAATGTTGAGCTAGCAGTTCCAGGTCTTTGCTGCTGCCCTGGGCACTTTGGTTCCTCATCAGTTTTACTGTAACCAGTACTGCTCGCTGCTAGGTAGACTGCATTTCCACAGGATTGCATGTGTTTGCTGCTTCGTGCTTGAAGCAGGGAGAGGCTTTTTTTTTTTTTTTTTCAGCGGGGAGATGCATCTGAGAAAAGAGAATGCCAGCCTCAGGTGCAGGAGACTACAGGCCCATTAGCTTTCCAGTAAGTAGAGTCTGGGGTGGAAATGGGCTCACAGTTGGTGCTGCTCACTGAGGTGAGGTCTGGGGAGAGCTAGCAGTGCTGATGGCAGACAAGGAGTAAGGGCCACCTCCACCAGGAAGCTGTTAGAGTGGCTCAATAGTGGAGGTCTTATAGGATCTCAGAGACACAGCCTAACTCAGTGGATGAAATTGGCTGGCAATGCCACAATCCAATGAAACAAAAAATCAACTCAAAACCCACCATTTAGAAATTTTGTCTTCATCTCCATCATAGTGGTTGGCTGGTGTCCTGTATTGAGAATATTTAAGTAAGAAGAGCTTTTCATGGAAAGAAAAGGGCCTCTATTTACTTTTTTTTTTTTTAAAGCAACAATAGGAAACTGCATAAAAAGAAAATCCCCTCAGGAGCTGGTATTGGGTGGGGACATCATCCTAGGCCTCCTTCAGAGCCTGTTTTTTTTTAAAGATTTATTTTTATTGTGTTTTTATTGGAAAGACGGATATAGAGAGGAGAATCTTCCGTCCGATGATTCACTCCCCAAGTGAGCACAACAGCTGATACTATGCCGATCCGAAGCCAGGAGCCTCTTCCGGGTCTCCCATGCGGTGCAGGGTCCCAAAGCTTTGGGCCATCCTCGACTGCTTTCCCAGGCCACAGGCAGGGAGCTGGAAGGGAAGCGGGGCTGCGGGACAGAAGTGGCGCCCATATGGGATCCCGGGCGTGCAAGGCGAGGACCTTAACCACTTGCGCCACCACGCCGGGCCCTCAGAGCCTGTTTTTAAGGATGGGATTACTTTGTATCCTTCCTTCTGTAACACATGTCTGAATAATCAGCAGAATGCTGGGGGAAGCTGCTCTGCACGTTTGGCCTTCACTGTGGAAGCTTTGGTGAGGCTGCATTGCTGTTCACTTACAGGACTGTTTTTCTGAGACTAAAACAGCAGCAGCTGTGGATGAAAATGCCGAGCACCTGTTACCCGACGCCATCTAGAGCAGTGGAGCTGCCGGCACCAACAGTGCTGTGCCTGGCTCCCACCCTCTTCCAAGAGGCTCTGCTGAGGCCTGGGCTGTTCTTTATGCTGATGACCTCATATTTGTGTCTCTGGTTACTGGGCAAATTGTTTTTGTTTGTGGTTTGTATTCTGTGCTTGGTTGGTTTTCTGTAGGATGGGTGTGTTTTTGAGCTCTTAAATCTGTGGATATTGCAGTCCTCAGTTTTGTCATGCAATGTAGAATCTTCCCCCTAACCCCCTGCCCTTTGACAAAGCGATATGTTGTATGATCGCTTTAAAGTTCTTCATTGTAGTCAAATTGATGAATGTTGTCCTACATAGCTCTGGCCTTTGTATCACACTTCAAAAGTTCTTCCTTTTAACACTTACACTAATATTTTCCCCATTTTTTAGGGGGGGAGGTTACGTTTGTTGAATCTAAATTTATTTTGCTGCGAGAGAGTGAGAATAGGATGCTGGCTTGTTTTTCTCCAAATTGCTAGCTAGTTTACTTGCCAATATTATTCTAATAATTCCCATTAACTGTTTATCTGAAATTTTAATCACATGTACAAATTTTCTGTATGTGCTTGCATTTATTTTGGAGTCTGCTATAACATTTCGTGAATGTCAGTAGTTCAGCATATTTACTATAGTTCTTTGAGTCGTGGCTTTATAGTATGTCTTACATTGATGTAGCTTTAGTCCCTCTAAAAGTGACAGTGGGGAGAGGCAATGGCCGAGTCACTGTTCAAAGAATCTGAAGGGTCTAGACAGTATGATCCAGACTCCACCTGGGTTCCCTAAGGGCTTTTTTTTTTAAATTTACATATCAGGTTCCTGGCTCTCACAACAGAACTGCAAACACAAATTACGTTGCTGAAACTGTTTTTCACAACCTCCCCTGATAATTCCTTAGAACTCTATAAACAATTCCGTACCTAGACAACAGCCGGTGAGCAGGTGCTGAGTTCTGTTAGTAAAGTTTTCCAAGAATAACCCCTTCCACTTTACCAATGACGTGCATGCCCATGTGCCTAGGCACACGTGTTGTTTGAGTTACAGATGTATTGTCATTTTGCTGAGTACTTACCTAGTGCAAACGCTGTGCTGAGGATGTGAGGCTAACGTCTCAGATCTGAGGTTTGACCTGTGGTGATCCTACTCTCTGACTACGCAGACTTTCTGCATGTCTGTAGTGCTTTAGCCAAGGCAGAATACTGCCCGGGAGCAGCTTGTGGACAGAGCTGGAGGGAGAGACATTACAGCTGATGCCTCGGCTGGCCTGCATCAGTTGCAAGACCATCCACAGAGAAAGCAGGTGTGTAGGTCCATGGACAGAGTAGGGAAGCGTCAGTGTTAAATGTGACCACTTGAGGAAGATCTCATGGAGGGGAAGAAGAAGAGGATCCCATGGTAGCTGAAAGGCTCTGGATTTTGTCATTGTAATAGACCATTTCTCTTTTGTCTGCTGGTTCTTTCTGGATTTTTGAAAAGTCAGTCCTTTCTATAACACATTGGGGTCCTGTTATCCGTGACTTTCCCCCTACTCCCACCCAGGCTGTTTTCTCATGTGAATGCTGGTAGTTTGCTCAGTTGGCCTTGCTTTCAAATGTTCTATTCATTCTCACGATGTCAGGATAGTGCAGGACACCGAATATGGGCCTCATACTTCATTCCTGTGCCTCCCTGCTGCTTGGATTTCTGCAGACTCGAGAATACTCCATCGACGTCCAGAACAACCAGCTGCCCTTCCTCCGGAATCCAGATATCTTGGTTGGGGAAAATGACCTCACTGCCCTCAGCTATCTCCATGAGCCCGCAGTTCTGCATAACTTGAAGGTCCGCTTCCTGGAGTCCAACCATATCTATACCTACTGTGGTAAGTGGCGGCTGCTGCTGGCTGCACACTTTTGACCATGCTTGGCATTTGCACACTTAAATAGTCGAGTCTTAATTCTCCTCTCATAGATAAGGGCCTCTCTGCTGAGATGGCTGAAGGGTTTGCAGCCAGGGAGAGTGGGTCCATTAGACTGCACCAGTCCCTGGCGGTTGGTGAGTGTTTATCACATCTTGGCCAGAGAGGAAGGTACCCCACCTTGGGTGGTCAGAGAGCTGCTAGGGCCTCACAGGTGCCTGCTGTCACCTCTCCTCAGAGCACATACCTGCTGCTCCATACCTGGCTGGCTTTGTCTTCTGCTCGCCAAGGACACCTTCCCGTCTGACCAGCTCACTTGCTTGTGTACCACCTGGTGTTAGCTGAATATGTGCTCCATTCATGCGCCAGGCACTTAATAAATGCTTAGAACAAGAAGTCCTGAAATTTTCATGCTTGGTTTTTGCTGAGGCCTTGCTTTTCTCCTACAATGCAGATTTTTACTTCCCTCTCATTAAAAAAAAAAAAAAAAAAAAAAAAAAAAAAAAAAAAAAAACAACAAGGCAACAACTTTGAATAATAAGGGACAGAGCAGAAAAAAAAAAAGCCTCTGTTTTTAAAAAGAAACCACCCATTCCCAGAGCCCTTGAGACTTTTCTTTAAAAAAAAAAAAACAAACCACCCTGTTTTAAAGTGAATATAAGATTTATTTATTTTATTGGAAAGTCAGATATATGGAAAGACACAGAGGAAGATTATTTTTTTAGAACCTCATAAATCACCTTTATTTGGGAGAATTTGTTTTCTTTGTTTTTATTAATAATGATTACATGGAGACGTGGTGCGGTGGCCTAGTGGCTAAAGTCCTCATCTTGAACGTGCCTGTATCCCGTATGGGCACTGGTTCTAATCATGGCAGCCCCACTTCCCATTCGGCTCCCTGTTTGTGGCCTGGGAAAGCAGTCAAGGATGGCCCAAAGCCTTGGGACCCTGCATCCACATGGGAGACATAGAGGAGGCTCCTGTCTCCTGACTTCAGATCGGCTCAGCTCTGACTGTTGCAGCTGCTTTGGGAGTGAGTCAACAGATGGATGATCTTCCTCTCTGTCTCTCTTTCTCCCTATGTGTATCTGACTTCCGAATAAAAATAAATCTTTAAGAAAATGATTACATGGTTGATCAGGGAGAGAAAGATCAAGGTTTAGGGAAAATTGGGTGAACTCATTGCTTCCAAATTTCTTTTTGTTGTTCCTGGGGAAAGGAAGAGACAAAGGAGGAAACTATTCATGACTGTCCACACATCCCAGTACCCAGGGATGAGGAACCGCTACCTCATATCAACCCAGAGTCTCAATATGTACATATTCTGAGGGTTCTGTCCAAGAGGTTTGGTTAGTTCTGAAATGCTGCTGATTTCACCGATCCAATGATGATGTCACCCACCAATTGGCTCCATTCACCGAGATTTTTTGCTGTCATCATTTGTTTGGGGTAGTTGTCCAGTTTTTTCTGTTCTGCTTCTGCTACAGCTCCAAATGTGCTGCCATATAGAGAGGAAGATCTTCTGTCTGCTGCTTCATTCCCCAAGTGGTCGCAAAGGCCAGAGCTGAGCCTATCCAAAGGCAGGAGTCAGGAGCCTCCTCTGTGTCTCCCATGTGGATGCAGGGTCCCAAGGCTTTGGGCTGTCCTTGACTACTTTCCCAGGCCACAAGCAGGGTGCTGGATAGGAAGTGGAACAGCTGGGCCATGAACTGGCGCCCGTATGTGATTCTGGCACATGCAAGACGAGAACTTTAGCCGCTAGGCTACTATGCCGGGCCTCAAAGATTCGATTTTAAAAATGCTTTGAGGACCATCAAGAAAAAAAAAAAAAAAGCCTCCCTTGTAGAGGAAAGGAATTTAATGGCCCCAGCTTCCTTTTTTTTTTTTTCTTTTAAGATTTGTTTTTATTTGAAAGGACGACTTACTGAGGAGAGAAAGATCTTCCACCTGTTGGTTTATTCCCTTAATGGCCGCAGAGGCCAGAGCTGAACTAATCCAAATCCAAGAGCCTGGAGCTTTTTCTGGCTCTCTTATGTGGGTACAGGGACCCAAGAACTTGGGGCATCTTCCACTGCCTTCCCAGGCCAAAAGTAGAGAGTTGGTTTGGAAATGGAGCAGCCAAGATTCAAACTTGCATCCATGTGGGGTGCTAACACCACAGGCTGAGGCTTCGCTTGCTATGTCATGGTATTGGCCCCAGCTGTACCTCCCCACCCAGCTTCTGTTTTTAAGGACATCCCCAAGGGATAGCCTATGTGCTCTTCCCTTGGTCATACAGTGAGTGGGGCAGTGCAGGCTTCTCCCTGGGGGGGCTAGGATGCTATGGGGAAATGGCAAGCTCACAGAGGTCCCTAATCACCCCACTGCAGTGCTTCCTGGGCTTAGCCCTGTGGGGAATCTGTTGGTGTTCTGGAACTCACAATGTGTACTAGTCTGCCCTTCAGGACAGACTTCATGGAAGGAACACTGGGTGGCTCTTGCCTCCTCTGGCTCTTTCCCTGTGACCGGAAGCACTCAGTTGAGATGCATGCTGCCGCAGCTAGACAGGAACTCTGCTCTGTCAAGAGTCTCACCTGCCCACAAGAGAGGATCTGAACTTGGAGGGTTTCCTGGTGGCTCAGTTTCCTCGTATTTGTTGAGTCCACCCTTGGGGTGCATGCTTTTAGAAATGTAAAATGTAAGAGGAAAAAAAAGCCCCTTAAAATATGATGTGAATTGTGGATGTAACAAACAGCAAACACACAGTGATTACTGTGCAAGGTGTGGGTTTAAGTGTTTCCCCTTCAATCACTTGAGCTGTAGGACATTGCAGGTAAATGCAATTATTATTTATATGCAACACACACACACACACACACACACACACACACACTTGAAAGACAGAGGAAGCTCCTATCCATAGATCTACTCACCAAATGCCTACAGTGTTGGGTGTGATTGAGGCCAGAGGCAGCCATGAGTTGGGAATGCCAACCTGTTTTGCCATGTGGGTATTGGGTTGACCCAGGATGGCCACCTCCTAGGTCTTGCATTGGTAGGATGCTGGAGTGGAGAGCGCAAGCAATTGAACCCAGGCACTCTGATGGGGGATGTAGGCGTTGTAACTGCTAGGTGGAATGGCTGTGCTCTTTACTCCAATTTGATAATTGAGCTGACGCACCGAGAGGCTAATTTCCAGTTATTGATTGAGCTCAGATTAGACCTTAAGACGTGTACGATATACTTTCTATTCACAAGTTGTATTTAGGATATCCCATACACAAGTGAAAAGAAATCCATTCCTTTCCCAGGCTTTAATTCCAACATGAGATCTGAAGTCTAGTGCCCATCAAACGAGTTAAGCATCCTCTTCTCACTGATCCCATAAGGTTTGTCTACATCTATTTTAAGAACTCAATTTGGAGTCCTGTGTTATAACACAGATGGTTAAGCTACCACCTGCAATGTGACCTCTTGTATGGGTGTTCATTTGAGTACTGGCTGTTCCAATTTTGCTAATACACCTGGGAAAGTAAGAGGATGTGCTTGGGTCCCTGCTACCCATGTGGGAGACGATACGTTCTAGCCGCTTACTTCAGCCTGCCCTAGGCATTAGTGCCGTTTGGTGGAGTGAACCAGGGCTTGGAAGTGTGTCTGTCTCTTCCTCTCTTTTCCTTTCTTCCTTCTCCTCTCTCTCCTGACCCCCTTTCCTTCTCCTGTCCCTACCCCCCTTTCCCTCTGACCCTGTACATGTGTACGTGCCTATGTGTGCTGATTCCCAGCCATGGTGTGCTTGTTGTCCTGGCCTGTAAATTACATTTTGCCTTGTCAGGGCCCAGCACAGGCACCTCCTGGTGAGTCTTGTTGGAGTGGAGTGACTGGTTGAGGCTCTCTGTTACTCCCCTGTCCTGTATTTTGGTGTATGAAATTGGGGGCCCTTAAGCCAGGTAGCTGCGGTGCTGCCAGACTCTGACTGCCTCATCTGTTTATAGGTATTGTGCTTGTTGCCATCAATCCTTATGAACAGTTGCCAATCTATGGACAAGATGTCATCTACGCCTACAGTGGCCAGAACATGGGCGACATGGACCCTCACATCTTCGCTGTGGCAGAGGAAGCCTATAAGCAGATGGCCAGGTGAGGAGGGCTACAGCCCAGACTGTCTATTGGTGGTCAGGGGCAGGAAGGCGGGCAGTTTTCTGGCACCTTCTGTGGCTGATCCTCACAGTGGTGTGATGAGCTGGAATTGAGGGAACATGTTGGAAGCAAAACCAGCTCAGGTTCTGTGTCTCCTCATCTTCACTAGAATGAATGTAAACATGAACTTTGGAGACTTATTTCATTTTTTGAGCAATAGAGTATAGGTCCCTTGCCTTCCCTTGACTTCCTTTTGGCTTTCTTTCCTCCATTCCTGGGACCCTGGAATCCTGTCCAGTTGATCTAGCTTGATTGACAGGTGTTCTCACTGAACACTGACAGCTTCCTCAGAAATGGAAAATTCAATTCATCGGCCATGCATACTGACTTTTTTTCTCTGCTTAGGCTCTTAAGTAGATCTCCTTTTTCCAGCCTTGAAGGGTGTGTCTGTCTCAACAGAAAATGTGCTTGATTGGTAATGATTTTTAACTGTTAAGGTATAATGTGAGGGAAATGGTAGATCTTTGTTGCCATTGCTGGAGAACTGGAGAGTATCTTTTTTTGTTTTAAAGTAAGATTTATTTATTTGAAAGAGCAACAGAGATAAAGAGATCTTGAATCTGCTGGTTTACTCACCAAATGGCTGTGATGGTCAAGGCTGAGCTAGGCTGAAAACCAGGAGCCTTGAATTCATTCAGATCTTCCACATGGATAACAGGGGCCCACTTAATTTTGGCTGTCTTCTGACTTCCCAGGCACTTAAGCAGGAGGCAGGATTGGAAGTGGAATAGCCAGGACTTGAACCAGCACTGAGATATGGAATGCCTTCCTTGCAAGTGGTCACTTAACATTCTTCCACAGTACTGGCCCCTTGTGGAGCACCTTATGAAGTTAGCAGTAGACACATCAAAGTACTCTTTTTGAGAATCTTCTGGCCTCCAGCTTAATAAACCACCTCAGCATGCCTCTCCGAGCCACTTAACTGACTGTTTCTGTTCTTGCCTTCAGTGCCTGGCACTGGACCCATGGTTACACTATGCTTGGTTCCTTATACTTATTTGGGTCTTTTCTCACACTGGGTAGGGAGCAAGGGAGTTGGAGTTGGGATGGTGGTGGTATCACCTTGCCAAAGGTAGTGAACTTAACTAAGGATTTGAATCTTTTTTTTTAAAAAGATTTATTTTTATTATTTTTTGATTGGAAAGGCGGATATACAGAGAGGAGAGACAGAGAGGAAGATCTTCCGTCTGATGATTCACTCCCCAAGTGAGTGCAACGGCTGATGCTATGCCGATCCGAAGCCAGGAGCCTCTTCTGGGTCTCCCACGCGGGTGCAGGGTCCCAAAGCTTTGGGCTGTCCTCGACTGCTTTCCTGGGCCACAGGCAGGGAGCTGGAAGGGAAGTGGGGCTGCGGGATAGAATCGGTGCCCATATGGGATCCCGGGCATGCAAGGCGAGGACCTTAACCACTTGCGCCACCGCGCCGGGCCCAAGGATTTGAATCTTAAAGCTGGACCAGAGAAACCTTAAAGGATTTTTCATTAACGTTTTAAGGTTCATACTCACTTTACTCACTGAGTCTGAGTGTAGCTAAGTAATTCTTGCTGAAGTTCTTGTGTAATTTTTGCTCATGAAAATGTATTAGTGGCACAAAACTAGCATCTGTGGCCAAAGCAGAGAGCTATTTTTGAATTAATTCTATTGTCAGCAGCTCAGGGTTTCTATTATTGATCTGAGGGATACATCAGAAGCCCTAGGAAAAGCTGTGAGCAGGGAAGATGACCCATTGGTGAGAGGATTTTTGCTGTGTTTCCAGCATGGGCTGCCTCTGTCCATTTCACATATTAGAGCCTATTCATTTAGCTGTGCTTGTTGTGCTCCTCCTGGCCTGTCATAGTTGGCATAATGATGAGGTTCAAGTTGGCATAACTCAGTGCAGTGTGCTTTGAGTGTGAGTTCCCTGACAGCTGGGTGCAATAAGCGGGGGAGGTTCAAGGTTAAAATGAATGACATTTGGCATCTGAGGACTGATTGACTCAGTTGTTCTTGTACTCAGTAATTGTTTCTCTTCTGGCTTTTCTTGTTGCACATCCAAGGAGTCATGTTTGTTTTTAAAGTATTAATTTAAGAGGCAGAGAGAGGAAGAAAGCTTTCATCCACTGTTCATTCCTAAGATGCTCACAGTGGTTGCTGGCGTGGGACTTGTCCAGGAGAAGGGTCTCCATCCAGGCCCTTGACATGGGTAGCAGAGGCCAAATAATTGAACCATCACTGCTGCCTCCCTAGGACCTGCAATAGCAAGCAAGTGAAGTTAGATATCAAACCCAGTGGTCGTGATGTGGATGTGGGCATCCTATCCACTTTGCCAACCACCTGTCCTAGGGCAGAACTTTGCTGTCCTCAGTGAGTGGGACTGATGCTGTCAAAGTGTGGGAGCCTCACTCGAGGTCTCTACGGCTTCTGGGAGTTTAAAAAGTATACTGTTAGGAATGGGAGAGGGGACGCCATTGACACAGGGGCCCAAACTGCTGTCCTTGTGCCTGTTGCATTCACCAAACCTGGACTTGAGAGTAAAGGCAGATTCACAGCAAAGGAAAAGAAGGTTAGAGGGTGTGAAATTAGCATAATTACAAATTCCACTCTTGGGCACACAAGGGGGGGTCACCTCCACTGCTGAGTCCACTGCCAGGTCTGAGACCCCATGTGTCCTCTTCCACATTGTTGCCTATCTCAACTCTAGCCTCAACTCCTACTCTTCAGTTGTATCAGTGTCTATGAGGGAGTGATGTTTTGATAGGCTTCCTGGTGGCCACTGAGTAATACAGGATCTCACCCCTGTGGAGAGAAGGCATCAGTGCACTAAAAAGTTCATAACTCCAGGAAGTACAGGTAGAAACTGTGCCAGTGTCATTTGAATTGTGTTTGGAGACAATTGATGCTTAAAGAAAGCTGCAGGACTTTGGCTGGATGTTGGTGGATTGGGAGCATGCATAGAGTGAGAAGAGACTGTCTCAGTACCTGCTTGGATGTGACTCTCACCCGGGAAGTGGAAATCTGGGGACCATCTCCCTGAACCTCTTGGGATGAGGCTCTAGTGAAGAAATAGTGACAGGTGTTGGAGGGGATGTGGAAACGTTAAATCCTTGTGCACTGCCTGTGCACATGAGAATTGGTACAGCTGCTTCTGCAGATAGTTAGCAATTCTTCCAAAGGTGCAACTCAGATCCCTGATGACCCAGTAACTCCATTCTTAGAATCTCACATGCCCAAGAGATGTAGAAAATATTCATATTTCCACATTAAAAATACTTGTGTTCTCAGTAGCCAGAAGGTGAAAAGGAAAATAGGAGCTGTCCACCCAGGAGGGAGAGTGTCTAACCATGACAAGGACACTTGCATGTCAGTGCATCTGGGAAACAAGTGAAGTGGAAGAAGACAGCGTATTGTACGATTCCATCTGTCTGCAGTGAGCAGAGTAGGCAGATCTGTGAAGACAGTAGATGAGGTTGCCTGTTGCTGCAGGTTGGAGGGAAGCAGAGAGCAAGTTCTGATGAGGATGAATGGGCTTCACAGCAGGTTGTGAAAATGATGACAGATGCATAACCGTACTAAAACCAACAATGGACTTTGCAAGGGTGGAGGGTGTGTTCTGTGAATACTGCTATTGTGAACAACAGGACATGGTCAGGAGATGAGAGCAAGGGGGTCTTATGAGGGTGTTGGTAGCTGTTAAGTCAAGGACCATAATGCAGTCTCAATGTTGACATACATCTTGAGTCTTCAAAAAGGGATTGTGTTGTGCTGGGTTTGCAAAGTGTAATAAGACACAAAACTGTTGGATTATCTCGAGAAACTTATGTGCTGGGCAGTAGTTGAGGAAATATTGGCCCAGAGTAATGGAGACAAGAGCTTCTCAGAGAAGGTGATAATGTGACTCGAGGGTTGCTTGAACTAAAAATTGCCTCTGATGAGTCCCTATTTCCCAATAATCTTTTCCTTTGGATTTCTGTTTGCTTCTCTAGGATAAGAATACTCTCAGAGAAGCTTAGTTTGTGGTGAAAGTAGCTTGTCAGTTATGAACAAACCATGTGGGATGAATGAAAGGGGTCCAGTATGTTTGCTGTATTCCAGGGCATACGGCTGGTGTTTAAGAAACGACTGACCTGCTCATGCATTTAGTTCCTACAACTGACCTTGAGTTTAGTTGTCTCCGTGATACAGGTAAGTGCTGGAGACTTCAGGATGTCAAGAAAGATGAAGATGATAAAATGAGCAGGTGTGGAATCCAGACCACTGTTTGCACTAAGTCTCCATCATTGGCCAAGAAGCAGTTCTCCCTCCCCGAGTCATGTCTGTGAAAGGTCCCAGACAGTGTGGTCTAAGCAGAGCACCCTCTGGTCCCCAGTGAGGGCCAAAGAGATGCTGCTTTACCCTTACGTCCAGGAGTACCTGGGATTGTGCAGTAGATGAGGGTGTAGGGCATCAGCCAGCCTTAGGGATGAGAGTTGGCTGTTTCATTGGGCCGACTGGGTCTCATATATATATATATTTTTTGAGCTGTTGGTGTTTCAGTTGTGGCGTTTTTCTGAAAAAGGTTGGAGATACTGCATAGCTAGTTCACCTGCTCAGGTATCCAGGGTAATGGAGCACCCATTCTCCATCTGTCTCTGCTGTGCTGCCAAGGTGTGACTAATAGTGAAAGATGGGGTTGCTGTTGCCTGGAATGCTGGGGACGGGGAGTGGTGCTTGGTGCACCTGTGATCCTTGGTTGACGGAAACAGCAGCTTCCTGGAGATGGGGGCTAGAGCCCAGGAGAGTGCAACCTGTGCTCATGGTGGGAGGAGTGCTGATTGCACTCTTGGGAGAGGGACTCTCGCTGGTTGGCGTCCCTGCAGGTGCAGAGAGCATTTTGAGAATTTGTAAACTTCCCAGGTTCAGGGTGGAAGGGAGCAGCAGAAAATGAGTGTTCATGGTGGAAAAGGATCCTTCCCAAAGGCACA